TATTATGTAAACATAAACTTTTATTTTGGACTCGATTAATCACAATTAATTGTTTGACAGCACTAATATATATATATATATATAACACACACACACTACAATAAAAAATAATATGACATAAATACAGAAATAAACAACAAAATTACTAAAACTTTAAAATTAAATCAGGAATTACAAAAACAATATATATATCTCAATTAAACTAAAATAACACTGAAAAAGACACAAATCATTCAATAAGACTGAATTCTTTAAGTTGAACCGGAAGTCTAATTGTATTTGGTCTTTATGGAAGCTTAGCAGGGACTTTAAGACCTGTGTCCACCTGTGTTTTGTCGTCATGCTGTGACTAGAGTTTACAGAGGTCTAAACTAACAGGATTGACTTTTGACTTGGCGTCAAAGCCGCTTGTTGAAATATGTCCGCTTTGTCCTCTCAGAGCTCCTGGTGCTCCGTCTGGCAGGAGTGGGCATCGAATGGTCCTGAGCAAAAGACAGCTGCTTGTGTTTGGAGGCTTCCATGAGAGCGCCAGGTACAGACAGGGGTCCCCAACTTCAACTTCAAAATTAAATTTGTATTATAAGGAAAATGATACTTTTTGCTGTACTACCTTTTGGAGTGAGATTTGTGCCCCTCAAAGTTCTAGACAATGTGTATAGATGACCATTAGAATTTTGTAAATGTATTAAATATTCATTTTTAAAATACAATTTTAATTTGAATAATGTTTTTATACAAGCATTATAAATACTGTTATATAAAAAAAAAAAAATATATATATATATATGTATGTATGTATATATGTGGGTGTGTATTTATGAACATATAATTGTATATATAAAATGTAAAACATTTAATAGTCTTTAAATATTTAGTTTTTGTGATACATATGTTCTCTGCTCTACAGGGATTATATTTATTACAATGATATTCACGCTTTCAACCTGGACACATTCACATGGAGCCGTCTCCAGCCCACAGGAACTGGCCCCTGTCCCCGTTCAGCCTGTCAAATGACCCCCACTCCTGACGGCAACGGCGTCATCATCTACGGCGGATACTCCAAAACTGTATGTTTTGGTGATTGATTACTGTAATTTTTATTGATGTACACTGAAATTGATTCATCAGGTTTTACACTTACATGAATCTATGAGTGAATGTGAATTTATCTGAATATTATATAGAGTATAAATGTGTGTTTTGTTTTTTTTTGGCGTAGGTTACATTTTTAGATAAACAACCTTTTTTTCCAACTGTTCTTTTGAACTTTCTATTTTCACCAAAGAATTCTAAAAAAATATATAAAAGTTTATAATTTGTGGAAATCTATCGTTTTCACCAAAAATATTTAGTTTTCAACATTGATAATAATAAGAAATGTTTCTTGAGTAATGATGCTGAAAATTCAGCTTTGCCATCAGAGGAATAAACTACATATTAAAATAACTGTTAACGCAGCACATCTGCATATTAGAATGTTTTCTGAAGGATCATGTGACACTGAAGACTGGAGTAATGATGCTGAAAATTCAGCTTTGCCATCACAGGAATAAACTACATATTAAAATAACCGTTAACATATTTTAAAATGTAATAATATTTCACAATATTACTGTTTTTACTGTATTTTTTCAGTTGGTGTAGTTCATGAAGTCATTATAGTGATGATATCATAATATCATAGTACTTTTGATCTATAGATACTAAGAATACAGTGGTACTACTAAATCATGTATAATAAACATATTGTCATGGTACATGGAGAAACACCATGGTAGTACTATGTCCAATAAATCATGATAGTGTCAAGGTACTTTTATTTTTTAGCATACAGTTGCTAAGCAACTTGCCACATTTATATAGAATCCTACTGATGTCCGGTCACATGAATAGCTTACAGTAGTTTAATTTGTATGGCCATAAATATTTGTTGCATGCTTATGTCACAAAATACATAAAACCTCAACAATTAAATTGAAGAGGGTTCATATTTTTGAACATCCTCCCTCCATATATAGACATGTGGCCTTTGAGGTTAAAGTGTAATGGATTTAAAACTGTTCACACTTTATATGTCCATCATTAGTTAAGCTGTGTTACACTTGGCTTCATTTTGCAAGAGCATGTTGATGGCAACTGCAACTGCTCTACACAGAGAACGAGGTATAGTGTCATTTCCAGGAGCTTGTCCTTGAGTAAACCCACGAGAGTAAACAGACGTAGGTGGTAATGGCTGCCTTTCTCTTCCAGAGAGCGAAGAAGGATGTGGATAAAGGAACCATCCATTCTGACATGTTCCTGCTGAGGAGGGAAGGCAAAGAGGAGCAAGGTACCATCATTAGAGCCTCCACGGTCATCGCTTGTTTAACATGGGCTGCTTTTCTCTCCATTTCTCCTTTTTGTTTGGAAAATCCACTTTCTTTTCCATGTCTGAAAAAGATTTGTTCAATTTTTCGCTCTTGTCCTGCAGAAAAGTGGACATGGACGCGAGTGAACCCTTCAGGAGTCAAGCCCCCTCCTCGGTCTGGCTTCTCTCTGGCGGTGGGCCCCGGGGGCCGGGCGCTGCTCTTCGGTGGCGTCTGTGATGAGGAAGATGAGGAGTCTCTGGAAGGAGACTTTTTTAATGACCTTTACTTTTATGATATCAACAAAAACCGGTGGTTTCCTGCTCAGCTAAAGGTTGGCGTGATGTTTCGATTTAGTAAAGCCTCTAAATAAAGCCCCAAAAACATTAATATATACATTGTCTTTTTCTTGGCAGGGCAGCAAGTCAGAAAAGAAGAAGAGGCGCCGTGGGAAGAAGGAAGAACAGACGAATGAAACTGAAGGGGAGAAAGAGGAGCCACAAGGTCCCACTGAGATTATTAAAGAGGTCATGGCTGAGGATGGAACGGTTATGACCATCAAGGAAGTGATTCCAGCCACACAGGCAGAGGAGGACAGTGAGGAGGAGGAGGAGGATGAGGATGGCGAAGAGGAGGAGGCGGCTGCAATGGCTCCCCTGGTGGAGCCCTGTCCTCGCTCCAGCGCCATGGCAACGGTGAAGCACAGCAAGTTGTACTTGTACGGCGGAATGTTTGAGGTGGGAGATCGACAGTTCACACTCAGCGATCTCTACAGCCTGGACCTGCATAAGATGGACCAGTGGGACGTTCTAGTGGAAATGGACCCCAGTAAGTGGAAAGACAGCCCAGAATTCCCTTAGCTTCTTTCAGAATAAAACTATCTATCTATCTATCTATCTATCTATCTGTCTATCTGTCTGTCTGTCTGTCTATCTGTATCTGTCTGTCTGTCTGTCTGTCTCTATTATCTATCTGTCTGTCTGTCTGTCTGTCTGTCTGTCTCTATCATCTGTCTATCTGTCTATCTGTGTCTGTCTATGTGTATGTATGTCTGTCTCTGAATATCTGTCTGTCTGTCTGTCTATCTGTCTGTCTGTCTGTCTGTCTCTTTCTTGTCATTTGTTCTATGTATCGTTTGTTTGTCTGCCTGTCGGCAGGGTTGCCAGGTTTGCGAAACAAAGCCCAAAGCCCAATTGCTATTAAAACGACAATCGTATTTTTTTATGCAGTTTTCCCTCTGTTGGGGGTCCGTCAAAAACATGTTATGGGGGGTGGGGGTGAGACCACTTTAAACAGCAGACTAAAAAACAACCCGCAGCAAAAGTGTAAAAGTAGCCCAATTCCACTATAAATCTTTGGAGTTGGCAACATTGTCTGTTGGTTTCACTATCTGTCGTTTGTTCTATCTATCGTTTGTTTGTCTGTCTGTTTCTCTATCTATCTATCTATCGTTCTATTGTTTTATCTATATGTTGTATTGCAAATAGTTCAGTACAAAAAAGTATAAGAAACAAGCCACACTCGAGCACTTAATTCTTATTACAGAGACGCAGGAGTGGCTGGAAGAATCAGAATCAGAAGATGAAGAAGCAAAGGGTGGTGATGAGGAGGAAGATGGTGAGGAAGAGGAGGATTCCGAAGAGGAGAGTGAAGAAGGTGTGTATTTTGGAGATGCCAATCTTGCATTTCGGACACATTTGTGAAGGAGAAAAGTATTTAGATAGTAAAGTTTAATGTTTACTTTCAGACAGTTCAAAATGATGCCTATTAATGAGATTGAAAGCTCATCCCTGAGGGTGGACACATACATTTTCCTTTAATGATCAAGGCCATGATTTGGGTCAGGTCCATGAAGTAGACATGAGCAGATGACAAAGGGTTTAGCTGCCAAGACCCAGGTCAACATCCACTGATTCTCTTTGACAACCAGAGCTGTGTGTTTTGCTTTGGGGTCCTTCTCGCTTAAATTCATTATTGTTAGATGCCAGTTTCGCTTGTCAGTTGTAATAACATCACTGATTGTTAGCTTGTGGCTGCTTCATGGTTAGGTAGTATGCTAAACAAAGAGATTTTTTTTGCCTCATCATCCACATCGGGGGCGTTTCATGTTCAGAGTATCTCGATTTCAGTACTTCAGCTCCCGGGATTTACTTTGGACATAAAGAGGCGAAAAGTTTATAGATTTTTTAAAGAGAACAGAAGTGGTAACCTGGACAGGTGTTGACATTTTCTCTGTATCTCTCTATCAGATGCAGACCATCCTCCAGTAAAGGCCGGAGAAGCGCTTGCAGATTATCAAACACGGACTGAGAAATACTGGCTGGGTCTGGCCCGAGCCAACATGGGTCCTGACGCCAAAGAGAAGAAAGTACAAAAGGTCGGCCACGCCATGGCCAAGGTGTTCTTTGAGGATCAGGAATGAGATTTAACGTGTGTGTCTGTGTGTGTGAAAGTGAACAAAAGAGAACGGATGGATGCGTGTTTGAGTTTTAAAGCAGCTAAAGCATGTTCTTCTGACTTTAATGTTTAAAAACATGGCCTTACTCTTTTCTCACTATTTTGTCCATGTGTTTTTATTATTAATAACAGAAGCTGAATCTCAAAATAGTTTCATTATTTGCATTAAGCATTTTTCCCCCCTGCTTCCCGTAACCCTTTCTAATCCGATTCAGAAGCCATTTTTGGGTTGTGACCACTGCTCTAAATCAGGGGTTTTCAACCTGTGGGGCCAGCACCTGTCAAGGGGGGCGCCAGCATCAGTTAATTCAGAGACGTTCCCTTGAGAATTTATGAATATGAGTTAACAAATCTTTAGCCATCCACTAGGGGGCAATCTGACTCCCACTGCTAGTTGAAGGTTAGAGCAGAGTTGGCTCGAGTATCAGTCACGCTCAGTGTGCTTCCTCGAGAAAGTTTTTCATTCTCACGTGTTTTAAGTCTTGTCAGTTTAAACATTACAGTAATTTTAAGCCATTTAAGCCCAAGTGAAATTAGACAAACTTGGGGGGGCGCATGTCCTAAAAGGTTGAAAACCCCTGCTCTAAATCATACTATGCTAAGCAATATTTCTTTTTCATAATATTTGATGAATTTATTTCATTATTTAGCATAAACAAATTGTTTACTATTTTTTTGAAGGGTTATTGTGCAACAATGTGCAACATAAATTTGCTCCCTCATCATAAATTGTGTTGGCTTAAAGTAATTATGTAATATCCGTAGTGATTTGGTCCTAAGAAATCAAAGATTATTCAGAATCTTATTTTCCTGCCCTTTTTTAAATGTCAAAGAGAAAAGAAAACATTTTAACTTGGTTCAGTGCTGCTCTTCCTGACTAATGATGACAGTTCTGTTATCAGTTATCAAAAAAAGTTATAAAAGTTAATATTTTCAAGATCAGTTGACAGACCTTTTTTTCCTTATCTGACATGCATGAATTTAAAAAAAGGAAGAGATATTAACATATTAAAGGAAAGCTTATTTAATGTTGCTCTTCTTTAAACAACTTTGAACAACTAACCTCTAAAGCAGTGTAGATGTATACTATTATAATATTTATTAATATTTTGTATATTTTTATTTTCACTTTCAGTTTTAGTCATTTGTTATGTGCTTTTATTGTTTTAATTTTTATTTCAGTTTAGTTTTTCAACTTAAACTTGTTTATTTCAGTTAGTTGCCAAGCAACATTTCTAATTTGAAAGTTTATCATCATTTACGTTTTCTTTTATTTCAGCTTTGTTTCATTTAATGAAAATTATTTTAATATTTGAAGTTAACAATAACAACACTGGACAAAAGTAGATTTTTTTTTTAAAGAAATAGTGCAAAACACTCTTGCAGCTAGTAAAAAAATAGTGTGGGAAAAAAAGTTAGTGTCGAACCCTGCTATATATCTGTTGATGTGCTCTACTACAGTGATAGTTGCAGTGTGTCTCAAACTGCTGTCATTTTGTCATTCACAGCTTTTTAAAATGCAGTATTTGTCTAAACGTGAGAGACATAGCAACACATATCAGAACAGATGTGTAAGACATCTATAAGAAGTTTTGTCTTTGAGCTGAAGAAAGCTAAATCGGATGGCCAAGCGGCAATCACAGTTTCTAAATGAAAGGCGCTTCCCTCATTGACCTATTTTTTTTTGGCTGTGAAGAATAAGCGATGTAGAAAGAGAAGCTAATGAATAATAAATGGCGGATAGAGAAATGGATGAGGTTACGATTATGCAGCCAACTGTCTCTCATCTCCCCTCTTTCTCTCTCCATCTCACCATCTTTTTTTTTAAATTCTGAATTTCTTTTTAAAAAGACAGAGTTTATAAATAACTAAAAAGTCACCATTTTTACAGCCCTGCTCTGACGTCCTGAAGCACATGAACCTGCTGTCGTCAGAAGAGTGTGTGAGCGAGAGAGAAAGACAGCAAGAGGGAGAAACCGGGACAGATTTGCTAGTTCTCTAAGATTTACTAAGATGTTTGTAGGTCACATTACTTGATTGATCCCATTTATTTACCTAGTGGCTGTCTTTATGACCTCATTAGTGTGTTGAACCAATAAGAAAGAGAGTTTGATAAAAGATAATGATTCATAATTGAAGCTTGACTAATTCTATAGCTTGGGGACATGTTTCCTCACATTATCTAATTTGTTTGGACACAGTTTATAAAGGCTTGTAAATGGAGCCATTTAATGATCTTTTACTGACCAAAGGTGTTACATTGAAGTTTCAGAAAGAATTGATGCAGTAGACTCTCACAAAAATCTTTAGATTTTGGGTTGTGTGTGTATATATATATATATATATATCCAGCAAGGACACAGTAAATTAATCAAAAGTGGTGGTAAAGACATGTTAAAAACAATTGCCACAACTGTTTTCAACTTCACTAAAAAGAAGAAAAAAAAG